ATTGTCATGTCGGTGCCTTTTATAGCGTACTATACGGTATAGGTTTGCTCAGTTATAAAAGGCCTTACGGTGACCCTGAGCTGATTACATCTTTGTCCTTTGGTCTCTTGTGGATAGTTATCTCATTGACAAACATACCACAATACTTTATTTTCATATTACTACAAAACTGAATATTGTAGAATACAGGACATTTTCAACTATCTTCTAATCAATGCATTCATTAATGGTCAGTTCGATCACGGCAACAACCAATCTTTTGTTGTGTGCTTAGGATTAAGGAATTTCATTCTGAAGTAACTTTCTCGCTTGTATATTAATCATATACTAGATACTTATAAAAATAAGGAGATGTTGTATGATTACCAATGAGACAACTATCCACAAGAGTTCAAATGAAGTGAATGTTAGCAATTATAGGCAACTGTACAGCCTTCAACAATGAGAAAACTCATACCGTATAGTTGGCTATAAAAGGCCCTGACATGAAAAATGTGAAACAACTCAAACGAGAAAACCAACGGCTAATTTATAACTAAACAATTTACGAAAAACAAATGTGACAGACAAGAACAAACGACAACCGCTGAACTACAGACTACTGACTTGGGAGAGGCACATAAAGAATGTGGCGGGGTACTCCTTAGAAAAAAGTAGACAAACCTCTTCCTCTTGGAATTACAAAATGTATCTATGTTCGCCATTATGGAAGTCTGCAAATCTTTTTTTCCAACACATGAATATATTTGCTGTTGGTCTTTTGACAGATTGTCAATTTCACGTATCACGCGCAACTTAGAATTTTAATCGTAAGCGTATATGATTTGTTTGTGGTAAAAAATAATGATACAATGATTCCTACTTAAGTAATGTTGTAATGTTAACTCTTTATGTCGAAGAAATAGAACGTTGGGACCAAATCAACAAAAAAAACCATTATATTTTGAAAAATCCGTGAAGATTTCAATATTAATCTTTGATGATATGATATATTTGTTACTGGCGAGTTATGATTATAAACCGAAACTGATCATAAAATTTTCCTAGATTAAAAATGTTGTTACAAAAATGAGATGAAACTTATGAAAGTCATTTGAAGAATTTTTTAAATATAACATTAATGGGCCTCTTTATTATAACCCCATTCACCTTCAAACTTGGTCGCCACCGTTACTTCAAACGAAAATCCAGTTATAATTGTCGATGTCCTTTGTATAAGATAACAAATGATGCATGGATTTGCATAAAAGATTGAAAATGGTATGAATATTGATAACAATATAAATTTGACGGAGAGCATTAATTCGAAAAGCTCAAACAGTATTTCCGTTTATCGTGAGCTCAATATATTGATTATAAACTGCATACATACTCAAGTGAAAATTAGCAATTGATAAGGCAAAACACAAAAAAAAAAGGAAATCTCGAAATCAACAAAATACTTGTATTCATAAAAAATATGAAACTCCGAAAGAGTTGTGAATATATTTCACAGTAACTGTTGTATTTTCCATAACACCAAAATTCCCCATATGACAGTCATATTAAGATACAACAAAAGGAAGTCCTTGAAGAGTGTTATGACTTTGGACAGGCCTATGACCATGTGGCAGGATACAATTGTTTTTTTTAAAGTTCCCAACAACCCGGTCATCCTTGTTTGCCTACATTTAATTGCAGGTTTATAAAAACATATGGTTTTTGTTGTTTTAACAACTATAGTTTATTTCTGAATTATAGTTATATTTTTACCTGTATTTTACCAGTTAAATTTTATAAAGGATACAGATTTCTACTATTAAATTAATGTTTGCAATTAAGATATCTTATAAAATAACCAGAAAATGACTGAATTTGAAATTTTTTAAACAAAATATACACAAATGTTTATTATTTTGACAAAATATCAACAGTATTTATAAAATATTGGTATAAATTTGATAAAATAAGAAGTAAAATAATAAAACTTCAGAATGAAATAAGTACTGTTTAAAATTTATTTTTATTTTTTTACCTCGTTTTTGTTTAATTTTTATAAATACTTCTTTCTGAAATTTTGATATAGAATAACACAATAAATTCTGACAAAGGCATTTTTTTTTTGTTTCAAACAATAATCACGAGAGTTTTTGTAGCAAGTTCTATCAGTTTATCCAAGCTGTCAATGATTTCTCACTCATTTGTGAGATGTTTGGCTACAACTCTGGAAGACATAAATGAAGCTGACAACGTACCCGCTAAAACAACATTTACCGACTACATGATAGAGGTTTGGGTTGAAGGATATCGCTTTTAATGGAACCACTATTTAACGGAGGACCCCGCACCACCAACCAACTGGAAGGATGACACAAGATTGAGAAGAGACTTCAGTATGCCCATCCCAACATATACGAGATTATCGAACTACTCAAGAAGACCAAAGCATTAACAGAATGTACAATTATCTAGAACGCAGCAGGAGGAGACCGTCTACCAAAATGACGCCAATACAGAGTTATACACACCAGTCTTCAGCTAATCAAAGACAGATACCAACAGGGTCTCATCAAGGTGATAGACTACTCTGATGCACTATCTCATCTACTTCATTTGATCATGTGACTATGTGAAATAATGTGATTTATGACTTTTTGAATATATTGTTTTGTGACTTTTGTAATATATATATATATATATATATATATATATATATATAATATTGAATTTTTCAACTTTATACATATAGTGCTTCATATTACTTGTTTTACATAGTGTTTCATTAATTTCCTCTTTGCAATGAATGTATAAATTTGCTTCATAGATTTTATAAATGATGTTTGTAATAAAAGACAACTTTATCATTCATTGGTGTATTTGTATCATTATCAGTGAAAACGTTAATTATGAATTATGAAAACACTTTTATAAATGAATTCCATTTTGCGGTTTTCTTATTTGTATGTTCAATGAATCCATTAAATTGACATTAAATAATTGAAAAAAAATATAATAAATGTACACAATGAAAGCTACCTGAATATATAGAAATCACAGATGGACTATATTTTTAAAGTTTGAACAGACTAACCAATTGTATGCACATAAAACCTTTGTCTTTTTTGTTTACTAAACTATAGATAATTGGTATAATTAAATGTAGACAAACAAGGAGTAAACCGCATCAGGGAATGCCCTCAAACATTGAAAAAAGTTAAAATCACTTAACCTAGTCTCGTGGTCCCTTTAATGCAGTTATATTAATATTATCGACAACATTTTTTTTTAAAATGTCTGTTTTTGGGGTTGTTTTTTTGTTTAGTTTTTTTTGCTTTGCAAAAGCGTTACTCGGCTAAGTGAAAAAAAAAACTAGTAACTAGGTACTGCTCTATAGGTTTTTTACAACACGACATTTTATAAGTGTAAAACATTGTTATAATTTTAACAGTTTTTACAACAATGTTAAATTGAACACCAAAGTTTCGGAACAATGTTTCATTCTCCTGATGTCTCAAATATCACATATTATCAACTGTTGGTGGATGGATATACTGATATATCGGGAATTTTGAAGTCTTAAAAAAATATCAGAAATTTATTTGACACTGCCAGTTTTGATATGTCCTTATTCGTTATGAGGCCTTCACTAAATGTGTATATTACTTTAGGTTTCAACATGATGATGAATTTAATGTTAATAAATATGAGAAAAAATAATGTACGAACACGTATAGCATGTTCATTTTTAAACGAATTACTTTAGTAATAGAGGTACGACTGAACCATGACTTTATCTTTCATTTTGATTTCTACAAAAATAAATTAAGATCCAAATTTGGTACGTACAAAAGTTTTCATTTCAATTTAAAAATAAGCAGATGTTTTATGATTGCTAGTGAGACAACTTTCAAGCAGAGACCAAATGACGTAAAAATAAACGACTATAGGTCACCGTACGACCTTCAACAATAAATAAAACCCATACAACAAAGCAAGCTATAAAAGGGCCTGACATGACAATGTAAAACAATTCAAACGGGTAACGGACTGATTCATGTAGAAAACAGCAAATGAAAAATAAATATGATTAATAGAAACGAACGACAACCACTGAATAACTGGCGCTTGGCTTGGGACGGTCATAGTAGAGGTTGAACATGTTTGCGGGTGCCTTCTAACATAAAACAGTGATGTAAAAACACAACATATTAAGAACAACATATTAAACTCGGTTATAAAACTTGCAGTTACTGAAATCAAGACTGAAATATCAATCAGTACACATCCAATGAATTTAAGATAAAGACGTTATAAACAGTAAAAACAAATAAGTCTAATTCGGTAGGTCACATTCGGGGAAAAGGGGACAGAATTGAAGTTACGACAATTGGAACATATCCGCTGTCATCTGTGAAACGGATATTCCATAATATTTACTTATGTTTTAATTTATTGATTAAAAATTCAATGTTTTCACTGTTAAAAACAATTTCAGTGTCAAATTTATAACCTTTTAGAATAAGTTTATTTATTAAGGGCTCAAAAAACAACATCACTGTAAAAATTTGGATATGATATCACGTTTTCTAGACGTACATTTGTACAGCCAAACTTCCAAACCAAATCTGTGTACCTTTAAACAAATTTTGTGAAGGTTTTAAGTTAATTCGTGACAAAGATATCCCTGACTCAAGTTAATTTACAAGTGATACATATATTACTTTCATTGGAATCTATCACGTTAATACAGACACGGCCATAAACTCAAAACTGTCAACCGAATCAAAAGGACCACAAAAGTCACGTTAGTTATTTAAAATATCCAAAGAGTTTCTTAAACTCCTAAAATTTGTTCATTTCCATTATTTGTATATGCTTTTTATACTTAAAGTCTTTTATTTTCGTTAAGGATATTTTCATATTTATACATGGAGGGTGGAATATGTTTAACAGTTTGACTATTTATATGAAAAAAGCATATTGATATTGTTTGTCTCACATTTATTTTAGATTTGATGAACACAGTATGTGTGGCTGCAAGAATTCAGACAAATGGAAGTTACCGTCTCGAGACTCATTTTTGCAATGAAAGTCTGGAAGCCTTATGTCACAAAACTAAACGTATTATTGGTATGCTAGTATTGTAATTATTCTTAAGACATTGTTGCGTAATTCATAAAATAATCTTTGCAATTCTGTTGAAAACTCTTCTCTACTATATAGACTGACCTTTAAATGAATTATGTATTTTTTTCTTAAATTTTCGTCCAGTTTCGGCATTTATATTCTTCCTGAATATTTTAGCGTAGTTTACTCATTTCATATTTTTGTATTACTGTATATTTCTTTTTTTAATCTGCAAAGCTATTTAAAGTTCCTACGTTTGTCGATAAATCATTCCTAAACAATAACACAAACTAAAACTAGTATAAACTCTGACACAGAGGCCAAGAACCACAACATGTATTAGAAAATTCTTGATTAGTTCAAGCAACCATTTCATTAAAGTACAGAAAGTGTTATTAAGTTCATCAATTACATGGAATTTAAACGGTACTTTACTGAGTTTCGCCATTAACTGGGATTAAGAACAATACGGATCTATTCTGGCATTGTCGTAATAGGGTAAGTGCGATACGAACATTTTTTTGTAGTATTGTAATAACGACAGGTAGGAGACGCAATTCCTCTGAATCGGTTTTACAGAAAACTGTTGTACTTTGTATGATTGTTTGCCATCAAATATTCTTGACCATATTTGTCGGCCATTGTGATTTGACCATTTTTATAGGAGTTATGGGAATTTGAACATTATTTTTAATTTTTTTAAATTATTGCATTGCTGTAATTGATATTGTTTCGGGGTTTTTTCTACATATGTGGTTCTTTCTATTTTCCCCTATTTCTTTGATAAAAGTTTATGTTTTTTTGGGTTCCTGCAAAAAAAAATTTGAAAATTAAAAAAGATCAGCAAACGTCCACATTATTTTGAAAAAAAATGCCAACCCCTCTCAGTAACTAGGATTTCGAATTATTCTGCTTTATTATTAAATATCTATCTCAAATCATGGTCTTAATACAAAAAGCTTTCATCTCAACTTTCTTATAAAATTTGCATAAAAAATGAAAGATGATGTCAAGGGGGCATTAGAAAATCATATGTAGAATAGACAACACCTATGGCAAAAATAAATACAACAAAAGGACAAACAACAACAAAAAACACCACATAGAAACCGAAGACTGAGCTACACAAACCCCACAAAAAACTGGCGGTGAACTCAGTTGCTCCTATTTATGATGTAACGTCAGTCTTTGCCCATATTTTAAAACTTTTTAACAGGCTGAGTTTTAAGCACAGACAACTTTGACCACAACACCTGATCGACAAAATTATTATGTCATGGGACTCAATATGTACCTTGCCACACTTAAGTTATTGAACATTTTAGATCGTGATTGCGGTCACGGTTTTCCTAAAACTTATAGATCCAAAAAATTTACAAAATCATCGTGTTTCGACTCCATACTTTTCACCAGTTACATCATATTCTTTTTTTTAAAGTTTGTTTTCATTCGGTCTATATTTTTGGGGGGAGAAGGTAGTTTTCCTTAGAATTTCTGTTTTGATTTTTTAATTATTTTGTATGAATTTAACATTTGCAATTATTTGTGTACGTAAAATCTTGTACAGATCACATGTAGTAGAACACGATTACGCACATAACAAGTATTTACATATTCAATATGTTCGATATATTTATGTTTTTTACTTCCAATAACAAAAGGATTTCATTTTCTTGCATTGGTTTTTTTGGATGCGGAAAATATCCTAGTTTCTACTAGTTTAAAGGAACGAAACATTATCTTCATTCTCTGCTAAGGTGTGCAACCACTTTTCTGTTTCGGGGAAAATAATTCTCTGAGTCATTCAAATTGATATATTCAGATTAATTTTTAAAACAAAGTATGCTTCGTTTGTATCCTAAGAATGAAATAAAAATTAATTCAGCTGATGTGAAAGGGTTTTTAAGATATTAATGGTTCAAATGGATATTGCTTACATCCACTTCATTTGACCTTTGGTTGATAGTTGTCTCATTGGCAATCATACCACATCACTTATTTTTATAAGCATGCCGATACAAATAAATTTACATTCAAAATTGGAATTCTCACTTAATAATAAGAAAGAGAAAGCCTGTGTTCCTGTATTCAGAATAGCTCATTCATTTTGTTAACGGGAAAATCAAACCGTGTTTTAATTAAGTCGATATCGCTGAATACTGTTATTTCATATTTCTTATTATTTGATATAAAAAAAAGTGTATGTACGTCAACGTATCAATTTTCAAACTATATACTATTTGCCAGATGAATTCAGGTATTATACATTTGAAGAACTTATCTTACACAGTTTTTGCTTGCAATAGGGGCGATAATGGATATTTCCGGATTACAAAATATCACTTCCGGTGCAAATGAAAGGTCGATTCATTATGATTCTAAAATTATAAGGTTTCTATGTATTTTAACATAAAATAAGTGCTAAAAGCTACTTCCGGTTTACTCAAGGTCACATCCGGTTTACCCTTATCAAGGTCATGTATTGTACAGCCTAATACTAAAGACCTTATGGCTTTATCATGTTCCAGTGTTTCGCTATAGCAAAGGTCATCTAGAACGTCAAAATGAATTTTGAGTCCGTAATATATATGGTCATGAAGTTATCGTACCAAACAGCTTATTTTGAATATTCAAGAGAAGAAAACTATAAAAAGTCACCAGAGCACTTCAACCCATTTGACTGGCGAAGCGTCATGTCGCAACTTACAATTTGTCAAAACTTTTTTGTCGATAACTTTAACAATTCCCGATGAATCGCGATAACAAGCAGAATTCAAAAATTATAATACGACCTTGACTTTTGACCTTGACCTCAATTTTTTTTATTGACCAAGGATCTCATATAAAAAGCCTCTAGCTCTAAGAATTATGGTTTCTGAGTTACCCTCATATACCACTCATGTCAAACAAAAAAAGGGAAACAACTTTGATAGCATGTAACCGGACCGCTTCGGTCAAAATTTAACAGATCATCATGAGGAAGTAACAAACGTTTTGAAGAAAAACCAATTATACTGGGAGATAAATCCCATATGGAAAACTGGTCGGTTAAAAAGGGTGAGTTTTAAAAGCGTTATAACCGTTCAATATCATATACCAAATATCTTTTCTACATGTTGCGAAACAAAAGCGACGTTTCAGAAAACTAAAATAGCGGGAAAAATTTTTCAGAACAAAATCAAAAGGTCTTAATTACATGAATACCTAATTATAGTATGTAATTTATGTAGAACAAAGTCTAAAGCCTTAAACTAATGAAGAAAATTGGACGTTTAACGATGTAATTTTGTAATGTAATATATCCTGAAATAATTGTTTTGTGCGATGAAAGTTAACTATTCTGCTAAATGGAGCAATAATTTCTAATTACTAGTAAACAATTTACGAGATAAAATTCGACAAATGTTAATATCGTCTGTTATATAGTATCTTTGATATTACATGAGACCTTTACTATATATTTAGATACGGAGAGAAGATTTCCATTTTTTATAACACTTCCTCTATCTGGTAAGTATTTATATTAACTCCGTTTATAAATTTTGAAATTATAAAGAAACTAAGGTTTCAACTCCCTCAGGCAAAGTTTACCTTGGATGGATTTTGCTATATTTTAAGGTTCCTTTTGGTCATATAGCTTTTCAACTGTTTCGTTTCTTATACATCCTTAGCCTTCAAATATTCGGCTTTGAGCGTTCATGATGAAGGCAAATCCAGCAAAGCACTTCGGACGCACTAAATTTATAACGTGCTGTTTTAATTGTTTTCCAATTAATGTTTATCATATAATAATTAAACAGAAATTTCCCACAATAAAAGATAAATACAACACAGACAAACAGAAAACGTCCGCACCCTAAAACAAAATACACCACTCAATGTAACCAATTTTCGTCAATGAAAGACTGACCAGAAAAAAAAACCAACAAAACATACTCTTTTACTGCTAACAGCATTAAACGTCTATATTAATCCAATGAAAACTTAATAGACTCTACAAATATTTTGTTTCTCATATTCTTGAGTTATTAAACTCAGTCGCATATGATTAAGATAATTAATATAGAAAAGAGAATGGAAACAGGGAATGTGTCAAAGAGACAACAACCAAACCAAAGAGCAGAAAACAGCCCAAGACCACCAATAGGTGTTCAACGTAACGAGAAAATGCCGCACCGGAGTCGGGCTTCAGCTGGCCCCTAAACAATAGTGTAAATAGTTCAGCAAAATGGACACTACACTTAACTCCGAAACATACAAATGAATCATAATTAATAAAAAAAAACACAAGACTAACCAAGGGTAGGGGTTCCTGACTTGGGACAGGCGCAAAAATGAGGCGCGGTTACATGTTGGCAATTAGTCTCGGCAGCAAAAAATAATTATTTCTTATTGTTGCTTTTTGCCGGTAATCGTAGCCAGTGCCTTTATTATTTACCTTAAAACGACTTTGCTTTTATATTCTTCTGTTTAGATATATTATATTATGCATAATAATGTCTTTAGTCTGTTCCAGTTTGAATCGAATTAATCACAATTACATGTTTTTGTAACAATCCAAATAGATTAAACAATTATAGCATTACGTAAGATACTATACTTTACCATTTAATGTTTTAAAAATGTTCGAACACTTAAAAAAAAAACATTGATCAAACCACGCTATTTCCACTATATCCGTATTGTATATATTTTGCCAATCTAGGCACACCTTCAGCATTCGGAGTAAATAATGACTCTCACCCAGTATAATAAAATTATTTAACACAGTAAAATCCTTTAGTAATATATAAAGTACTAGTTCCAATCCTCCATCTAATTGTGTATTAATGTCTGATATGAAAGCTTCAAAATTCAACTGTGTGTTGAAGAAAAGGCAGCATGTAGCTTATATTTAGCAAAAAGCATACTACAAGTGTTCCAAAATTATTAGTTTTCATATGTATTCTTATTCCTCACATAGCAATACGAAATGACTCAAAGTTTCCACATTATTCTTGCACAACATGCAAGTACCTTCTGGGGTTTGGAAAATTAATTGTTATTATCGCATAAAGAAATCCCATTGAAAGCAGTGTTATAATCTTCACATTTTCCTTTGGTTTTGTTGTTGAAGGGATTACATTAAAGTAATCTTGGAATATTATTTTGTTATAGTGAAGTCAATATTTGATTTATTTCAGTCATAGTATCAGGTGTTTTGATTATGATTACGCTGATATTGCTGATGGCTATAATCAATATTAGATCATTTAGACGGTACGTATACCAAGTCCATCCGTTGCATGGTTTTTGTGTTCTTAATTGGTATTTTAATTTATTTTCCCCGGCAATAGAAAGTTTTTAACAAGAGGACGTATGATTAAAACTATTATCTGGACCCTGAATTTCCAAATATAAAACATTTCTTTCAAATGGTAAATTATATTGATAAATGAATAGGGCTATATAATGTTTACACTAAATAATAGAATTTAAGTTGTGATGTCAACATGAAGTCATAAAAATATTGAAATTGACATTAATGACCTATTTTACGGTTAGGTTTTGGCAAAACTAAAATTGAGCCAAGGCCTTATCCAAAACGACGTTTTACCCTGTTTAACATCCTTGCTCAAGACAAATGTTATCAGAATATCTTTTTGGGTAAGGCTCACGTTAATTTTTTAATGTCAATATCTCAAAATGAGGGTTGTATGGCAAGACTTATATCAAGTATGAAAGACACAATTAAAAAAAATAGTTATAATTATAATATCTGACAGGCGTAAGGCTTTTTGAACGGTTTACTCCTGGTTTGCCAACTTTTAATTACACCATTTATCAACTGGAACTCACTAGTTCAAAAACTAAAAAAAGAAAAGGTTAAATGAACTTACAATTTGTGTAGTCTTATCCAATTTTATAGGTATAGTTTATCTGTGATTTCCATGTATTCAAGTATTTTTCATTGTGTAGTTTCATTTTTTTTTCGGCAAATAAATACACAAATAAATTCATTTTATTTTCAATGATTTTGACAATTAAATGGTTTCCCTCAACACACAACTAATAAAAAAACCATGTCATTGATTTATCAAAGTGTCTTTATAATTCATCATTAAAGTTTTTCAATGAAAATGATACAAAATCACCAATGTATTATAAAGGTTTTCTTTCATTACAAACTTTAACATAAAATCTTTGAAAATTTATACATTTATTGCAAAGAAGAAATAAACAAAGCACTATGTGAAAACAAGTAACATTAAGGCCTATATGTATAATTTTGACATCCAAAAATACAATACGATATATTTAGTAATCTATCTCTTTGATGAGTCCTTGTTGGTATCTCTGTTTCAGAAGTGCAAGTCTGGTGTCTATCATTCTGTATCGGCGTCTTTTTGGAAGACGAGCTCCTCTTGCTGCACACTTAATAATTCAATATTATGTTAATGCTTGGTTCTTCTTGGGCAGATCAATAATCTCATAAATGTTGGGGTGGACATGTTGAACTCTTTTCTTAATCTTAGTATGCTTGTCTTCCATGTGGTTTGTGGTGCGGAGTACTTGTTGCATAAAAAGGCTATCCTTCAACACAAAACTCAGTCTCGTTATCGGTACCGGTTGTGTGAAGTACATTATCAGCTTCGGCAATGTCTTCCAGCTTGACGCAAGAAATTGCTAGCTTGAACGCAGAATACTGTTTAAATTATGTCAATAAAAAAGCTTGGCTACTGAAGAAAATAGACAATAAACAAAGTGAATAAATAACAGAAATTGCAGATGGCACTGATTTTATTTTACCAGAATTTAACCAACAATTCAAAAAGTTTGTTGATATTTTGTCAAAATAATGAGCATTACTGTATACTTTTTTTAACAAAATTTCAAATATTTTGTTATACATATATCCCTTTTTTGATATTAGAATTCAGTATTATTTATAAAATTTTACATGTCTTATACAGGAAAAAATATGACTACAATTCAGAAATAAAGTATAGTTATCAAAACAACAAAACACTTTATGTTTTTATAAACTTGCAATAAAAAGTTAGCAAACCAGGAAGACACCTTTTTGAACATCTCAAGTGTGTTTTTATAAAACTTAATGGTTTTCTCATTCAAAGAGCCAATATAGTGACCTTAGCCTACCTTCTTCTTTTCAAGATATGAATAAAAAAATCAAGCCTGATAAATTGCCTCTGTACGGCCTAGAGAATTGAATCTGACTGAGCATTTTGAATTACGAACTGTTATCATAAATGAACATTTTCCATGCCTAGAAATTGATGAATTGGAAAAGCATTGCCGTTAAACATAAATTAGGAAAATAATAACTAAAATTATTGAACAGTTTATGCATTCATTTATTAAAATGGTCATACAAATGAAGAAAATCAACTATGCGACGTTTATTCACCATTCTGTTGGTTCTGTATTTTTCTCGGTCGATGTTAATGTGTAAATAAATTGATTAATTTCCGTATATGAACTGATATTATAATCTGTCCACATATCCAAGAGTTGTCTGATCCTATTGGGAATTAAGAAGCTTCATATAAGATATCAGATAGGTCTCTCAATAACAAGCATGAAATTCTTAATTTATTTCAAAACACATATGACTGTTTTCTTCTGTTTTTAATAAAACATCATATACACTCAAACATATTAACAGCCAAATGCAAATATCCAGAAATAAATCGTTGTAATTCATACTCATCTGTAAAGTGCACAAGAACACAGAGTAAGAAGACTGGTTTAGTAAGAGTCGACGTGGGGGAGGACATCCACAATGATATTATTAAAACAAAAAGATATGAAAGCAATTCGCCATCGAACTTGAAATAAATAATACCACAGATACAGTTAATCTGCCTCATTTTTTGTCTAATATGTAGAAATCGAAAATGAAGATGTGTCTGAGAACAAAACTTAAAAACATAAAAAGACGATTTCAGCCTTCGAGTTGTGAAATTTTCAACATTCCAACAGCGTCTGCATATAAATTTACATCTTCCTGTCGTGGCTATAATGCCGTCCTCGATTGTGACATCACTCAATAAGACTTATCTAGAATTTGTACTTTCAATTAGCAACACGACGGGTGCCGCATTCAGAGCAAGATCTGCTCACTCTTCCGGCGCTACTAAGACCACACCCAATTCTTATTATGTTCATGTTTCTCAGTCGATAGTTGTTTTTGGAGTGTTTTGTAGACTTTTGTTTTTTTTCGTTGTTTATCATATTTTGTCATACTGATGTCGTTTCCTCTTCAAGTTATGAATCTTTATTGTCCCTTTAAATTTTACTCCTGTTTTTTTTTCTAAATAAGACAGCAACCTACAACACCATACAGCAAAAACTTCTGTCATTTGATACATTTGAATCCCAAAAATGCGGAAACCCTTTTTTTAATCCAAATGGTAAAAATGGTCATCCGTTTTGAAACAATTTGGCGACAATACTAAGTACAAAAAAAAATCATAATTTATATGTAACATGTTTTTTAGTTATTTACATTCATTCGTGGCTTCAAATAAAATAGAGATACACTTGAAAGGGAAAACAAACACATTGACAAGAATTTCCAATACTGAACTTATGTGGTAATTAAAGGCAACAGTAGTTTTCCAATGTTTAAATCTCGGTGAATCATGTAAAAAAAAAAAACTTAGTGACACTTAGTTATTATCTTAAATTATTTATTCCACTATGACATGTACAAACCCGGACTCAGTTTCTGCTATCAAGATGAAAGCGGAGTAAATTATGATTTCCCCGAAATTGTAGAAAATACAGTCAAACGTAGATAAACAGACACAAACACATATGAAATGTCTAAGTCTTTACACATCTTATCAACAGTTATCAGCACTATATGCAAGGATGACTGATAATAAAGTAGAAAACATATATGTTACAACTCATAATATAACTTCATACCAAATATCAGCTCAATATTTGCAATGAGGACTGTATACGGAGGACATAACAGTTCATGAAAAAGAGAAAGATATGTTATAAGGTCAACCAGTGCCATCTAGGAAGAAACCTATTGGTTACATTCAACCCGTAATTTCAAATTTGTGCAGTGAAATAAGCTTTATATATGCCATATTATAAGAATAGCCATAAATTATGACTTTGACATGTTTTGATCAACGAAGATAACAGTCATCTTTTTGAAATTTAGAAATTATGCACCACTACTTAGACAAATGTTGGTTTCTATTGGCCAAATGAGTGGTTTTAGATGATTAGATTTTAACGTCAAGGGTTTGCGACCTATAAAACCTTATACCAAACCACACTGAAGAAAACTTATCTATAATGATAGCAACTGTACTGTTACCTTTATTTCTGTTCGATTATGTCCAAAAGATCCTAAAACAAGTATCCGAATTCTGATCAACGAGATTGTGATATTACAAAATATGAGACTATCGATCAACCACGTGATCATTACCTATGTACATAACAGTAACTATGCGAAAATGGTAGTCATGGCTGATACATAGTGAACGACTTGAAATCATCCCCTGTTTTTTAGTGGGGTTCGGGTTCCTCAGTCCATAGTTTTCTATCTAATGTTTTGTAGAATGTTTATCTCTCCGTCGTTTATCATGTTTTCTGTCTGTTTTTTTTTTTTGGGGGGGGGGGGGGGGGGGGGGCTTTTGGGTTTTGAATGTTCTTTTGGCATCTTCCGCCCGTTTTTATTTTCTGTGTGAAAAATTGCGTTATAATTCGCCTACACACTCACGTGAACTTACTATTGACTATAAACATGTCTTTACTGACTATCAGATAACTTAAGGCTTTTCCAAAATAGCTTGTTTTAACTTTATGCCGAAATATAGAATTTACATTGTCCAAGAATATTCTTACAGAAAGTATAATAATTTAGCTTTATTTTTCTGTGTATAGGTAGATATATGTACAAATTAATGCAGTATCGATTTAAGTCGTTCCTCCCATATCTCTGTTGGACCATTGTTTCTGTTAGGAGTACACCCCTGTTTATGAAGTCCGTATAGTCTGAACATGTATGATTGTTATATCTATATATTGTTGATGAGAGTCAATTACCAATCCGCTATTGCGTGATGTCTAATCACTTGAAATACCTTATCTTATAGGAGCAACAGGATGGGTGTCACATGTCGAGCAGGATCTGCTTATCCCTCCGTAGTACCTGAGATCCCCCCGGTTTTTGGTGGGGTTTGTGTTGGTCAGTCTTTGGTTTTCTATGTTGTGTTTTGTGTACTGTTGTTTTGATTTTGGTCTTTTTCTTTTTTTGCCATGGCGTTGTCAGTTTGTTTTCGACTTATTATTTGGAATTTCCCTTTGGTATATTTCGCCTCTCTTATACAGTAAAGGCTGCCTCATATCTTGACTTACATCTAGAAATTTTCAACGAGGGTCGGTTGAGACCAAAACGTTTGCGACAAAAGCTTCTTAATTGTGAACTTTCCATTTCCATGTAGCAACATTCCAGCAGCGACTACATATTGAGTATATATCTCCCAGTTGATACGATATTCCAGGGCTGGTGTTCCTATCAAGATGTCCTGGGTAGAGAATTGCTGCTCACAAGGAAGCTATTAAACGAAGATTTCCAAGTGGTGAAGTTAAAGTCATCCATTCGAAAATTTTACGGACGCCATCCGGTTGACCGTTACGGAATATCTGTTTCACAGATGGCGACGGATATGTTCCAATCGTCGTTACCACAATCCCGCCTTCCTTTTCCCCAAATGTGACCTACCGAATTAGACTGACTTTCTTATTTCTTCGTCAACCGAACTAATCTACATAATTTAAAGTATAGAAAATATATAAACCAGCGACTGATCCATCTAAATCTTATCTCATAAATAACAAAAATACCAGTTTTTGATCTTGTCAAACACGATGACCATTCTCGATTATGGATCTATAAATCAATGTGATAAACACTATTTATATTGTTTTGTTAGTCAAGGAAAATTGATATTTTTTCTTTGAATTTTTCGATTTCAAACATTTGGTTTTCAATCTTTTGAAACTGTCAACGAAATCAACGTCATTCCTTATTCAATATCTAATTACAGAATAAGCATTTACAAAGATAAGCTCAAGAAAGTGAATGAAAGGTTACCTGGAACAGAGTTTTCAACTTATACTGGAACCGAAGAAAATAACGAAGATCTAAATAATCTCGGGTATAACGAATTGGTTGTGAGTACGTCACAACGTTTAGCTGAATGCCATGACATTGAAATGGACACAAGAGACGACGCGATGGAATACCAGGGTTATCTTGTTCCCGAACAGCATTACCATACAATACCGGAAACGGATGTTCATTACACAGAGACTTGCATTGCAGACAATATTGCATTCAATTGATATTAAGAATCTGTTACAAACTAGCGTTTGTTAGTTGGTTTTTATTTCGCATGTATTGTAATAGACAAAGAGATACAGAAGATAATGAAAATATAAACATATATTTCATCATGTAACAGATTTAATAATTAAAAAAAAAGTAAGACTTGAGAACCTAGAAATTATAATATTTTTTTTTAAAGAAATAAAACATACTGCAAGGAACGGTCTTTTACATCATAAGACGACCGAGCGACAAATATAATTATGTGCCATTATATAAATATATTTCTAAAAATTGGAAAAACGTTTAAAAAATATTCTGGAAATATTTTCCTGATCATCAAAAAAGCTCCATAATTCATAAATACAATTCATTTGTTTTAAAATAAAACATAAATTATTTTGTCATGAACATATTCTTTACAAAAAATCTAAATTGTTTTATGATGATGTCCAACTTAATTGATAAACTGAAATCAAAATATGAAATACATTTCAATTTTTTTTTTTATTTACTTTTATTTCATGTTTACAGATATTCCTGTTATAAAGGGGCATTAGCTGTCAAATTCTTGTTCACCAATTTGACTCAAATTCTCATATTTAATCTATATACTAAAATGTATTTCCAAATTACAAAAAGTCTAAACTAAACAATTAACAATGCATGGACACGATAATAAGTATCAACATTTCGTGTGTAATTTTGTCTAGACGTCATCTAATTAACCATCGAGATGACATCCAAAGACTGCCGACGGTCATATTACCCGATGTAAACATAAATATAATATAAACAGATAGCGACCACGTGGAATTGGAGTTTTCTAGGTCTGTTTGATTTCATATTGAAGGTTAAAAAATATGTTTATCATCGTTTTTACCTGTATAAGAATGATTTTTTGTGGATCGAATCAGTCAACCAAATGGTTCATCCTTGTTTCACTTTCAATGTTGACATTCTTTTCCTTTTAATAGCTGAATACATGCATAACCAATCTCCAGGTAAGGGATTAAATTGAAGGTCACATAAATACGGATTCAATGAGGTCGAATTATTCATTTGCAAGTGAATAATTCATCAGCCATGTTTCTTTATTCAAAATTGCACCAAATCGGCTGATTAAAGCGAATTATTATTTCACTGTATCACTGTCATTCATGATTGAACAAAAAAAATCATATTTAATTTTTTTTATATCTCGTAGCTAATGCCCCTTTAATCCATTATATCATACTTAGTTTGTACTTTGTAATTGAGAAAGTGATTATATGTCATTATGTTTTACTTAACTGTACTATCAACTACATAACGTTTTTTGATGGCTTTTCTGTTAGATTTAATTGTACGTTTGTTTGGATATTTTTAAGTCAGCTGTGTTGCATATTTATGATATAGTTTACACAATTTCGGCTACTGGATCCCAATTATTGTCACGTTAGTCAATTAAGTCTGTTTTGGTTGCTAACACAATTTTTCAATAAAATGGAATTTTAAACAACTCTAATACAAATTGGAGGTAGGGCTAGCTATAAAACCAGGTTTAACCCACCATTTTCTTCGGAAAACGCGCGTATCATGTCAGGAATTTGAGAGCTGTTTTCCAGTCGTTTATTTGGTTGATATAGTCGAGCGTTTGGTTTTTTGAGGTTTTATTGACTTCCCATTTTTTTATTTACCATTGAGTTTGATATTTTTTGTTAATACATTTACGGGTCGTGAAAAATTTGCTTTTCTATTTTTTCATATTAAGACTGGGAGTTTTTTTTTAGTTGCGGTAATCGTTTATCTCTCGCTAGAGACTCGAGGTCCAGATTTTGATATTTATAAAAAGAAAAAGAGAGAATATACCAAGGGGGCATTCGAAAATTAAGTCCTAAGTCCAATAAAAATTGACAATACCATGGCAAAAAATAACATCCGGCACCCATAGTGTTACTCAAGAAAGCAATGACAATAAACTGATAGTTGAAGTACTTTCTAATTCGTCTTTCAAACTTCGTGAACTATATCATTATAGTTGCATTACAAAACATTTTAATTGAAAAAAAAATAAATCACTGGAGTCTGCAAATGCAGGTCACGATACTACTTTCATAAACTTGCGGTAATTTACAATGATTTAAAAGTGAAAAAAATTCCCCGTGACAACGTTTCTTGAAAAATAAAGATCTTTTTCAGTTGAAATATTCTACTATGAAACTGCACTCGAAACTCATTGATTTTCGTAGAAATTCAGTTGCCATACAAATGCAAAAAGCTCAAGGAAAATTTAACATATTATTCTGCATCAACATAACTATTATGGATGCTCGATCATCTGCTAGTCAATTAAAAGCTAATATTAAAATATCTGGGATGCAAGCAACTATGTTAACAATGATAGTCATACGCTAGGAACAGGTTATGCATTCCGCTGCAAGTATACTTTAAAAAACATTTAAAGAGATTTCCAAATAAGAATACCTAACTTCTCATGAATTGTCTCTTCCTACTGAAGTCGTCTTTATTTCAATTTATTTAGTACTGCATCGATACAGCGTACATCGTCAATGTTTGGCATTTGTTAAAAAGACGGTTTTTCAAAGATCTTAAGCCTGGCAAACTGTGATGTTCATGAATACCTTCCAGTTGCAAGAAAACTAGTACTTTTGTTGTACGACCAAAAATGTAAATGTAAAATCGTACACAATGACCTGAATAAATTACATATTAAACTCACTCTCTCTGTCCAAGCTTCTCTTTGTAAATTTATGTTTTTATATCTGGCTTAACAACCTCTTAGATCTCTACTACAGTTTGAAATTGATCAGTATAGCCGAAACTGGGTTTTTCAGGGTTAAATGTCTCTAGATTTCCTACAATACACTGTCTGTACATGTAAAGGTCAATATTTGTGCTAAAATGAATATGTTTGCCTTAAACAGAACCTTCTATGAATAAACATTTGTGTTTGCTACGCAAGTGTAATGTGTGGTAATATTTTTTACATGTCTTGTGATAGTTGACGGAAATGACAATGCTAAAGATCAGGCCTCAGTAGTTTTCAAAGTCTGTGGTATGTTTCAAGTGGAAAGGGAAAGGGCTTAATAAATGTCAGAAAGTAAAAGATGTCAGCAAACAGACATTTAACTCAGTGAACTACTCAACAAGAAACCATTTTAAGGAAGAATCAATAGAAATAATCGGTAGCAACGAATTTTGTTGAAACAGAAATTTGACAACATCAATATGAGGTCACATTTAACATTACTGTTATACTGCTTCTTTTTTATACGTCGCATACCATGCTAGTTTAAAATAATTTTAATGTAATGTATTTCATGACACTTGATTTTGCATTAAATTTAAGTGATTTATAAGGTCTAGGTCTTATCAACTTTAAATGGGTTGAACACTGAATATTTGTAGTTTTGTTTTAAAACCGTCGTTGTTTGTGATATTGTTTTTGAACCTTGTGACCGGTATAACTTTAAGTATAAGGTTTTCTATTTCGAATGGTAAACCTATGTGTTTGTTCGGTTTGGGAGATAAAAGCCAAAGAAAATCTACCCTGGTTCATCGCGCTATGATGGTGTTGGTATATGGTGTCAAAGGTATAGTTATATCAACAACTACGAATTATGAAATACATGTGTTCGACGCAATATCAGTAACGGTCAATGAAATATATACCACCTGCGGGTCAAATCGTGTCTTCTTACCCTCTGTTCAAAATCATTTGGGAGTTTAACGCATTCGTATTAAACTTTTTTCAAGACTACTATTTCAGCTACATTCATTATTTGGAAAGGCCAAAACACTTCCGTTACTGATACCAATCCTGCTAAGTACAGACTTGGGTAAAACAACTATGGAGATTGTTAGTCACAGGCTATTTAAACCATAGGCAACTACTTTAAAAGATGATTAAAATGCAAAGTAAAATTTTTAATTAGGATTTTGATACTATCAACGTTCAGCTATATGTTCGACAAAAAGTCTGCACAGACAAAAAATACCTGATTACTTCAAAGATAAAAATACACCAGTCATTTATGTTACGTACACCAAAGTCATTATATCCAAGATTGTCACGGAGTATAAGAGAACTTTAAAATCAAGGATATAAAATCAAAACCACTAGGTTGTTCTTGTTTATCATCCCAATACAATACAAATATAATCCCGCTGGTATTGTTATAAACTGGGACATTGTCATCGTAAACAATGAACAACTTCGAGGATGGTTTAAGCTTGTGCCAGGTGACCCAAAGCTCTACATTTTACCTGAATAGATCAAGGTTGCCAAGTCATGCATTGAGAATCGCATTCAAAAACAACGTTGTCTCATGAACACTCGTATTTAACCCTTACAAGAAGCTAAATGTTTTGGATGCATCATCCTCTCTTCACAACAAATATGTCGTTGTTCCAGCAGACAAAACCTCTAACAATATTGTTTTATATTAAAAATTTAAAAAAGAGGCGTTAATGACTTACGCAAGAACATTGAATTCCCACCAATCTGGGAAACCCATATAAATCTTTCAAATTCCCGAAAGAGGAGATGTTTGAGAACAACAAATCAGTCATCCTCTCCTTATTTAAAACATAAAAAAGAACGATGAAAAAATCCCACCTTTAAACATTACGCACAAACTTTTTTAAATCTTTATAAATTTCGATACATATAAAGCCGGGTTAAGATGTTTGACTAACATCTTTCTGAAGTTCATACTACTAATCTTTCTACATAATACGTTTGCCTTCAAAAATATTATGATGAGGTACACTAAACCAGTGGTGTCATTCAGATGTGGATTATTTAAAATTTGAAAGATCATCTTGAAAATCTCCAATCACAGTCATTTCAATATCAAAACATTTTTAGTCTCAATGCTCTAAACTACCATTCCCCATGATCAACTGAAAAATAAAGGCAACAGTAGTATACCGCTGTTCAATAGTCATAATTCGATTAAGCAAAAACAAATCCGGGTAACAAACTAAAACCGAGAGAAACACATCAACTATAAGAGGAAAACATCGGAACAACAGAAACACTGAACTACAACAAAAGCAAACGCCAACATACATAGAAACGAACTGTAGATAACAACTGTCATATTCCTGACTTGGTACAGGACATTTTAAAGAAAAATGATAGGTTGAACCTGGTTTTATGGCTAGCCAAAACTCCCGCTTATAAGGCAATGTTAAAAATACCGCTAAAATGACAACACAACGTGACAGGAATACAGTACAAAAAAATGCAAGAACACTGAGCACAGAGAAATACATAAATAAATAATATAATAGTACATTAC